CTCCGAAATCGATCTAATTTTGATAAAAATATTACGATATACTAAGTTTGGCCCAAATCCGATACTCTCTTCGAGAGTTATAGTGAGCACCAACCAGACAGACAGACAGACATACGGATGGACATCGTTAGATCGACTCCAAATGTCCTGAAACGGATTTGGTCCAAAGAGATCTACGGTCTAAAACCGTAATTTCGATGAGACACCTTTTGGTCGCATGAAATGATATATACCCTCTGCCATATGATTGAGGGTACAATAAGTCAGCTTAGATCTCTCTCATTGTCTCTTTCCCTCTCGTTATTCAACCATCTCCTTAACTGCAATGTTTTGCGGCACCCGCTTTCCATTTAGAAGAACCGAGTTCAATATCCTCATTTTATGGACATTTCTTATCGATCTATCAAAATTGCCCTTTTCCCCTTCACTAGTTTTCCAATTTTCACACATCCACAGCCCACATCGAAACAAAATAAAAATGGAAACACTTCTCATGGGGGTGTTTCCACTATCCTTAATATTTTTTTGTTGTTTCTAGTTTTCAACGAAAATCTAATTTTCATTATTCTCAAAAAAACGTGATGGGATGATTGGAATACGCCATGTGTAATTTTCGGAAATCTACGTTTGAATCATTGAATGGTTCACACTTCTCTTTTGTTGCATTTGGCTCATTAAAACATTTCACAAAGGATGTGCGTGCATGTGTGTGTGTGTTGACACGTGTCCTTAGACAATGGAAAAGAAAAGGAAAATCCAGACACAAACAGTACCTACCACCAAAATATATTAATTTTTTTGCTAATGGCTTAAATGGCCCGTTGGAGGTTTGACAAGTCATCAATAATTTGATTTTCGTAATGAGACAATCGGAATCACAATGAGTTTCCCATTTTCCGGATGTTTGTTTTAAAAATTAATTATTGTGGATGCAACTTAGAAACATGAAAATTAGAACAGCTGAAATGTTATTTTATGTCCTCAGCCATACGACAACACAGGGTACAGATGATTTGATAGGCCAAAACGTGCCTCATCGAAATAACGGTTTTAGACCCTAGGTCTCTTTGGACAAAATCCGTTTCATGACATTTGGAGTCGATCTAGGGGTGTTCGTTCGTCTGTCTGGCTGGTGAGCAAGACAATTCTCGTAGGGAGAATCCGATAGAGTCTAAACTTGGTAAATCGGAATATTATTATCAAACTTACATCGAGTTTGGAGATGGGCAATATCGGTCCACTCCTTCTGGTACCTCCACACAAAAGTTAAAAATTATGCAGAAAATAATTTGCCTCATAGGAAGAGAAAAAAACCATCCGATTTTCTGTAAACTTTATAATACCCTCAGACACATGGGTAGAGAGGGTGTATATCATTAGATACGGCCAAAACGTGTCTCATCGAAATAACGGTTTTAGACCCAGGCCTCTTTGAACCAAATCCTTTTTAGGACATTTGAAGTCGATTTAGCGATGTCCGTCCGTCCGTCTGGCTGGAGCGCACGATAACTCTCGAAGGGAGTATTCGATTTGGTCCAAACTTGGTTAATATTCGAAGATGGCAATATCGGTCCACTCCTTCTGGTACCTCCCACACAAAAAATCTAAAATTTCAAAGAAAATATTTTACTGCCCAGAAAAAAAGGATAATTCAATTTTCCTCAAACTTTGCAAATCCTAATATTTGCGTCAGTTCTAGGTGAGGTGCGAAAATGGACAATATCGACTCACTCCACCAAGTACCTCCACCACAAAGAATCAACATTTTATTTTATAATGGCTCTTATAAAATCTGATGTAAGAGCCCGATTGTCTTAAATTGTACACATCACAATATTTTTATTAACCAAGGTATGGTGTGAGAATGGAATATATCGCTCAACTCCTTCTGGTACCTTTCCACAGCGGGTTAAAATTTTAAATATCCATGAAGCTCATAAAACACGAAATTAACATCCGATTCCATTCAAAGTAGGCACATCTCAATATTTCTTTCAACACAAGATCTTTAACAACAAGTATAAAAACATTAAGTTCGGCTGGGCCAAACTTTTAATACCCTCCACCTTAGGGTAAAGGAAAAATTAGAGCCCATTTATACCCACAAATACCAATTTTTAGACATATCCATGGGAAAATGTGCCAAAAATCATCAAAATACCGAATATCTGAAATACGGCTATATGGGGCTATACAAAAACGTGGACCTAAACAAAGGAGCTAGAACGCCAAAGGAGCAAGAACCCATTAGGATCCACAAATACCAATGTTTAGACAAATCGGCGAAGAAATGTGGCAAAAACCATCAAAATTCCGAATATCGGGAGGTACCGTTATATGGGGGGTATACCAAATCGTGGACCTATATATGCAATGTTTCGCCACATGAACTGGAACCCATTATGACCTATAACTACCAATTTTCAGATAAATCCTTGAAAAAATGAGGCAAAAACCATCAAAATGGTAGAGATCGAACCATTCCTTCTGGTATCTCTCCCACCATTAATATTCCAAAAAGTGCAAGAACTTACACCGCAACAGAAAGACAATAGATTCAAAAGAGCTAAAGAGTTGCTTTGCTTGGCCGAAAGTGGTGAACTGTCGAATTTGGTTTTCTCCGATGGGAAAACATTCGTTGCCGTTGTCCAGCAGTTTGTAAACAAACAAACTGATCGTGTTTACTTGCCAAAGAGGTCAGCTGAAAATGTGCACCTTCGCCACCAGAACTCAAGCGCCGGCCATGGTGATGGTGTGAGCCGCCATAACAGGCGATGGTCGTTCTCCGCTTGTATTTATTGACCTTGGCGTCAATATAAATGCCGAATATTATCGCGAAAATATTCTGGAGGGTGTATTAAAGCCTTGGGCACGCAAACATTTTGGCCTCAGACCTTGAACATTCCAACAGGACTCAGCACGCGCCACCCAAGAATGGTTACAAAATGAGGTACCTCGCTTCATTTCCAGCGCACAATGGCCACCAAAATCTCGGGATACCAATCCGTTGGACTATTGTGTCTGGAGAGATTTTGGAAAGCAAGGTTGGCACTAAAAATATACCAAAGTGTCGATCAGCTCAAGCAAGCGCTTCGACGGGAATGGGCCAAAATACCGCAGAGCAACATTCGGGCAGCGTGTGACTGTTTCAGTGGCCATTTGTAGGCCATAATTCGTGCCAAAGATGGCCAATTTGAACAAATCTAAACTTATTCTAAAATTTGATGCTATTTTTGAGGGTATAAAACCTCCACCATACCATGGAGGGTATATTAACTTTGTCATTCCGTTTGTAACTCCTCGAAATACTCATGTCAGACCCAACAAAGTATAAGTCTTGATCAGCGTAAAATTCTAAGTCGATTTAGCCATGTCCGTCTGTCTGTCCGTCTGTTTGTTGTAATCACGCTATCTTTCGAACGAATTGAGATAGAAGGCTAAAATTTTGCACACATGTTTATTTTTCCAGTAGCAGGTTAAGTTCGTAAATGGGCCATGTAGGTCCATGTTTTCATATAGCCCCCATATAACGGTGCCTCCGGTTATTCCATATTTTGATGATTTTGGCGACATTATTCACCGGAATTGTTTCAAATTTGGTATTTGAAGTTTGTAATGGAAGCTACAGTCTGTGACAGAAAAATGTCTATACAGGTCCAGGTCTTCGTATAGCCCTCATATAACTGTACCTCCCGATATTCGGTATTTTGATGATTTTAGCTACATTATTCACCGGAATTGTTTCAAACTTGGTATTTGAAGTTCTTAATGGATACTACAGCCTATGTCAGAAAATTGTCTGTGCAGGTCCACGTCTTCGTATAGCTACGATAGAACGGCACCTCCCTATGTACGGTAATTGGATTATTTTAGCTACATTATTCACCGGAATTGTTTCAAATTTGGTATTTGAAGTTCGTAATGGAAGCTACAGTCTGTGACAGAAAAATGTCTATACAGGTCCAGGTCTTCGTATAGCCCTCATATAACGGTACCTCCCGATATTCGGTATTTTGACGATTTTAGGTACAATACTCACCGAAATTGTTAGAGATGTCGTATTTCGAGTTCGTAATGGATGCTATAGCTTGTGGCAGAAAATTGTCCATGCAGGTCCAGGTCTTCGTATAGCTCCGATATAACGGTACCTCCCTATATACGGTATTTGAATGATTTTAGCTACATTATTCACCGTTTATTTCAAGTTTCGAATTTGACTATGGTAATGGCTTATGACAAACAAAGCCTATGTAGGTTCACGTCGTAGAGACCCCAATATAACGGCTGTATTTGGTATTTTTAAGACTTTAACAGAAATTTTAACGGATTTTATTTTTTTGAAAATTTCCAAATTCGTTCCAAATGGTGGAGGGTATTTAAAGTTCGACCCGGCCGAATTTACTGCTTTTTACTTGTTCTACCATGAGTTAGTTATACACTCCATGTAAATCAAAAGAGATGTTTCAACTAGTTTATCGTTGGACTAGTTTATCGTTCACACTGCTGGCTGGCGAGGAATCGTTTCACTGCTCGTAGTTTGTCTTCAATCGATAAATAATTTGATAAAAGTACTACTCGCTCGCTCACCTCTATGAAACCCTAAAACTCGCTTACAATGAAGCTTGTTTCCACATTCTAGTCCTACTTGTCACACGTCCATCGTTGTCGGTTGAACAACTGCCTAAATTGTAACAGTACAGAGCAAGCATTTTAATCAACGATTGTAGACAATTGACGTGCCCCACGGTTTTATTTTATTGTAGTCTAGTCTTGTTCAGGCATATGTTTATAATTCCCACGATTGTATCTATTTTATTATTTATTGGTTTTTAGTACATTTATCTTAAACTTGGCAATGTATGTTTAACTTAAAGAGTTTTTTACCTTTAAAGCCTTTTTTATTTAGGAAAACCTCTTCAAATAATGTCAGAGTTGTTATTCGGCTGCATGTCTGTATCTACTGTTGTTATTGTTAATTTTGTCGACAGGTTTTGTTGTTTGCGATGAGAATTTAGTTATACCGTAACTGTTGTCGATAACAGACGTTAAAGTGCGGTCGGTGTCAATGAGAGAGAGAGAGAGAGAGAGAGAGAGAATAACTGTCAAAAGAGAACATTGTTGAGAGGCATAGAAATAGGAATTTTGTAAAGAACACAAAGTGAAGAGGTAAGGAATATTAAAAATCGTATTCCACAAATATTAATAAAATGTCTGATTTTAACAGATGTCTGTCAAAAGAAGTCGAGCTTCAGCCAAACAAATCCAGTATTTGGTTGATTTCATGGCGCACAATAAAACATTTGCCAGCGGAAAATTTGCGATATTGCATGGCAAACATGCGAGCAATAAGAAATGGAACGAATTGGCCACGGCACTCAATGGTCTGGGAGGGGCAAAGAAATCGGTAGCCCGATGGCATATAGTAAGTTTGTTTGGTTATATATATATATATATATATACAGGGTGAGATAAAAAACTGCAGCAACGTCAAACGCCATAATTTTTATATTTTTATACCCTCCACCATTCTATGGAGGTTATATTTTAACTTTGTCATTCCGTTTGTAACTCCTCGAAGTATTCATAATATGCCCTACAAAGTACATATATTCTGGATCAGCTTAAAATTCCAAGACGATCAGACGAACATCGGTCTGTCCGCCTGTCGGTCTGTTGTAGTCACGCTATCTTTCGAACGAATTGAGATAGAAGGCAAAAATTTTGTATACAATCATAGTTTAGCAGTAGGCAGGCTAAGTTCGTTAATGGGCCATGTGGGTCGTATAGCCCCCATATAACGGTACATCCCGATATACGGTATTTGGATGATTTCAGCAACATTATTCACTGGAATCGTTTCAAATTTCGTACTGGAAGATCCTAATGGATACTACAACTTATGGCAAAAAAAAATCGTATGCAGGTCCACATCTTCGTATAGCCCCCATATAACGGTACCTCCCGATATTCGGTATTTTCATGATTTTGCCGACATTATTTTCCGGAAATATTTAAAATTACGTATTTGAAGTTCGTAATGGGTACTACAGCCTATGACAAAAATTTTTGTATGCAGGTCCAAGTCTTCGTATAGCCCCCATATAACGGTACCTCCCGATATTCGGTATTTTCATGATTTTGCCGACATTATTTAGCGGAAATATTTAAAATTATATATTTGAAGTTCGTAATGGGTAATACAGCCAATGACAAAAATTTTTGTATGCAGGTCCAAGTCTTCGTATAGCCCCCATATAACGGTACCTCCCAATATTCGGTATTTTCATGATTTCAGCAACATTATTCACCGGAATCGTTTCAAATTTCGTACTGAAAGATCTTAATGGATACTACAACTTATAGGAAAAAAATGCGTATGCAGGTCCACATCTTGGTATAGCCTCCATATAACGGTATTTTCATGATTTTAGCGACATTATTCCCCGGAATCGTTTCAAATTTCGTACAGGAAGATCCTAATGGGTACCACAACTTATGGCAAAAAAAATCTTATGCAGGTCCACATCTCCGTATAGCCTCCATAAGACGGTACCTACCGTTACTCCATATGTTCATGATTTTTGCGACAATATTCACGGTAATTGTAACAAATTTCGTGTTTGAAGTTCGTAATGGGCACTACAGCCTATGAAACAAAATTTCGTATGCAGGTCCACGTCTTTGTATAGTCCCCATACAACGGTTTTCATTTAAGTGGTAGTTTTCGGATTTAATTTTTTTGATATTTTTCAATTTCCTTCGAAATGGTGGAGGGTATGAAACGTGTGACGGTTTCATTTGGATGTTTGAAGGCCATAATTCGTGCCAAAGATGACCAATTCGAACAAATCTAAAATTTGATGCTATTTCCGACATTTTTGCTTTCATTCAATAAAATGTAAAAAAAAACACAAGAACTTATGAAGCCTAGTTCGGCCCGGCCGATTTTTAAAATTTTATTGAATAAAAGCAAAAAATGTCGGAAATAGCATAAAATTTTAGAATAAATTTAGATTAGTTCGAATTGGTCACCTTTGACACAAATTATGGCCTTCAAACGACCAATGAAACCGTCACACGTTGCCCAAATGTTGCTCTGCGGTATTTTGGCCCATTCCCGGCGATGCGCTTACTTGAGGTGATCGACACCTTGGTATTTTTTGGTGCCAACCTTGCTTTCAAAATACTCCAGACACAATCCAGACTAGGTCCAACGGATTGGTATCCGGAGATTTTGGTGACCATTGTAGGCTGGAAATGAAGCGAGCAACCTCATCTTTTAACCATTCTTGGGTGGCGCGTGCCGAGTGCCATGGTGCTGAGTCCTGTTGGAATATCCAAGGTCTGCTGCTAAAATGTTTGCCTGCCCAAGGCTTTAATTCGCCCTCCAGAATATTTTCGCGCTAATATGCGGCATTTATTCTGATGCCACAGTCGATTAGTACGAGCGCAGAGCGACCATCGGCTGTTATGGCGGCCCACACAATCACCATGGCTGGCGCTTAAGTTCGGGTGGCCAACCGAAGGTGCACATTTTCAGCTGATCTCAATGGCAAGTAAACACGATCATTTTGTTTGTTTACAAACTGCTGGACAACGTATGTTTTCTCATTGGAGCGGAGAAAACCAAATTCGGCAGTTCACCACTTTCGGCCAAGCGAAGTAACTCTTTAGCTCTTTTGAGTCTATTTTCTTTCTGTCTGTTGCGGTGTAAGTTTTTGCACTTCTTGGAATTTTAATGGCTCTTACAGCGATCTCATTTTTCAATATTTGCCGAATGGAATATTGCGATATGTTCAGCTCACGAGCCATTTTCGGCCACTGCCACGCGGGTTTTCGTTTCAAGTCGCTTCTTTACTTTTCGAACCATTTCTGTTGATGTTGCTTCTCCGTCTTCTGTCCACTTCCTTGACTTCACGGTAACGAGCGATGGTACGAGACACAAAATATTTATCCACATTTAAATGCTGGAAAATAATAATAAAAAGAAATAGCCACTTGTGGGTTTATAGCCAAATATAAAGAAATCACACCATCGCTTGAATTCCATCCCGAATAACTTTTTTCCGGGAAAATTCTCACCAAAATGCTTTTGTACGCTTGTAAACAATATAATGAGCTGTCACTGGAATAATTTTAATAGCTGTCGGATGAGTGGCTTAGACATGACAACAGTCTGAAATTGGTTGCAGTTTTCTCATCTCAACCTGTATTACATATACATTTTTTTTAAAGGTATGGAGAGATCTGAAAAGTCGTATCAGCCAGAAATACAGAGAGAAAAAACGTGAACAGGCTTTAACAGGGAACAGAACATTAACCGATGATCTCATGACAGATGTAGAGCTGAGAGTTGTGAAAATTTTGGGTAATTCTTGTATGGAAGACGATAACTTAGTACAGGAAAATGTGGTGGTGAAAGAGGTAAGCTAGCGTCATTAGCTTGAAAAAAAATTCAAATTATACATATATATATATATTTACACAGGAACCGCAACTACAATATATAGTAAACGAAATCCCACAGAGTCCAAGTACACCAATAGAGCAAGACCCTAGAGAAACTAGAAGGAGCGAGGATAAAGAAGAAGTGCTATCGAAAATTTTGGATATTGTAAATAAACAGGCTGAATCGTTAAAGGTAAGGAGGATTTGGTCCAATTGCTATAAGTTCTCTCAAATTATCTCCCTCTCTCTCTTTTCTAGAACTTGACCGAGTGCAACGCAACTAATGCTGAGAGCATTAAAATGATGGCTCAAGCTGTGCAAACGATGGGAGAGGGTTTCAAAGCCACTGCTGAATCCTTGAATAACATATCTAAGGCTCTTAATAATATGTATAAATTTAATTAATAATATTTAAGTTGAGTTTATCTTTACTATTCTTCAATAAATAGATTTTAAGAACAATTGTTATTTCTTCATTTTATAAAAATTATAATAAAAAATAATAAAATTATAAATTCCATATGTAACAAGTAAAAAAAGCAGTGAGTTCGGCCGGGCCGAACTTTGAATTTCCTCCACCATTTGGAACGAATTTGGAAATTTTCAAAAAAAAAAAAAATAAAATAAAATAAAAAATCAGTTGAAAATTCTGTTGAAATCCTATAAACGCCGAAAATAGCCATTATATTGGGGTCTTTACGAAGACGTGGACCTGCATAGGTATATTTTGTCATAAGCCATTACAATATTCAAATGAAAAAAATCCTGTGCATAATGTAGCTCAAAATCATCAAAATATACAGGGAGGTACCGATATATCGGGGCTATACGAAGACCTGGATCTGCATAGACAAAGGCTGTAGAACCTAGTAGGAACTTCAAATATGAAATTTCAAACAATTTCGATGAATATTATGCCTAAAATCGTCAAAATACCAAATATGGGGAGGTACTGATATATGGGGCCTATACGAAGACTTGGACCTGCTCAGACAATTTTCTGGCAAAGGCTGTAGCACCTATTAGGAACTTTAAATACGAAATTTCAAATAATTTTGGTAAATAATGTCCATAAAATCGTCAAAATACCGAATATAGGGAGGTACTGATATATGGGACCTATATGAAGACCTGGACCTGTATAGACAATTTTCTGTCACAGCTGTAGTACCTATTAGGAACTTCAAATACGAAATTTGAAACAATTTCGGTGAATATTGTACCTAAAATCGTCAAAATACGGAATATAGGGAGGTACTGATGTATGGGGCCTATACGATGACATGGACCAGCATAGACAATTTTCTGGCACAGGCTGTAGCACCTATTAGGAACTTTAAATACGAAATTTCAAATAATTTCGGTAAATAATGTCCATAAAATCGTCAAAATACCGAATATATGGAGGTACTGATATATGGGACCTATACGAAGACCGGGACCTGCATAGACAATTTTCTGTCATAGGCTGTAGCACCTATTAGGAACTTCAAATACGAAATTTAAAACAATTTCGGTGAATTTTGTACCTAAAATCGTCAAAATACCGAATATAGGGAGGTACTGATGTATGGGGCCTATACGAAGACGTGGACCTGCATAGACAATTTTCTGTCATAGGCTGTAGTGCCTATTAGGAACTTCAAATACGAAATTTCAAACAATTCCGGTAAATATTGTACCTAAAATCGTCAAAATACCGAATATAGGGCGGTACTGATATATGGGGCCTATACGAAGAACTGGACCTGCATAGACAATTTTCTGTCATAGACTGTAGTTCCCATTACGAACTCTAAATACGAAATTTGGAACAACTCCGGTGAATAATGTCACTAAAATCAGCAAAATACCGAATATAGGGAGGTACTGATATATGGGACCTATACGAAGACCTGGACCTGTACTTATTAGGAACTTCGAATACGAAATTTCAAACAATTCCGGTGAATATTGTTCCTAAAATCGTCAAAATACCTAATATAGGGAGGTACCATAATATGGGGCTTATGCGAAGACTTGGACCTGCATAAACAATTTTCTGTCACAGGCTGTAGCACCTATTAGGAACTTCAAATATGAAATTTGAAACAACTCCGGAGAATAATGTCGCTAAAATCGTCCAAATATCGAATATCGGAGGGTACCGTTGTAAGGGGGCTATACGAAGACGTGGGTCAGCATACACAATTTTTTTGTCGTAGTACCCATTACGAATTCTAAATACGAAATTTGAAAAACCCTCGGTGAATAATAATCCCAAAATCATCAAAATACCGAATATCGGGGGGTACAGTTGTATATGGGCTATACGATATCGTGAACCTATAGATATTTCTATCCGTGGGGTAAAGTGCAAGTACAATTCCATTAAAAAATGTAGCTAAAATCATCAAAATACCGAATATATGGAGGTGCCGTTATGTAGGGGGATATACGATATCGTGGACCTATATAGGCAATACTATTCCAAGGGGGTAAAGTACTCAGAAGGAGCTCCTTGTGTGGATTTTAAGACAATTTCATTGAACAATTAGGCTACAATCATAAAAAGACAGATTATCGGGGAATACCGTTATATGGTACCGGACGGTCGGACAGTTCTAAATCGTCTTAGAATTTCAAGCTGATCATGAAAATTACGCTGTTATGTCTAAAATTATTATTTCGATGAGTTACAAACGAAATAACGAACTTAATATACCCTCCATACTACAGGGTGAGATGAAAAAACTGAAACCAACTTCAGACTGCTGTCATTTCTAAGCCATTCGTCCGACAACTGTAAAAATTATTCCAGTGACAGCTCATTATATTGTTTACAAGCGTACAAAAGTATTTTGGTGAGAATTTTCCAGAAAAAAGTTATTCGCCATGGAATTCAAGCGTGAAAGTGTGATTTCATTATATTTGGCTGGGAAACCACAAGTGGCTATCGGTAGAGCACTCCAGTATTTAAATGTGAATAAATCTTTTGCGTGTCGTACCATCGCTCGTTACCGTGGCATCAGCAGAAATGGTTCGAAAAGTAAAGAAGCGACTTGATCGAAACCCGCGTCGCAATCGCAGGCTGAATAATGGCTCTTGAGCCGAACACATCGCAATATTCCATTTGGCAAATATTGAAAAATGAGCCCGTGGTAAAGCCATTGTAATTCCAAAAAGTGCAAGAATTTACACCGCAACAGAAAGAAAATAGACTCAAAAGAGCTAAATAATTGCTTCGCTTGGCCGAAAGTGGTGAACAGCCGAATTTGGTTTTCTCCGATGAGAAAACATTCGTTGTCGTTGTCCAGCAGTTTGTAAACAAACAAAATTATACTGTTTAATTGCCAAAGAGGTCAGCTGAAAATGTGCACCTTCGGTTGGCCACCAGAACTCAAGCGCCGGCTATGGTGATGGTGTGGGCCGCCATAACAGCCGATGGTCGATCTCCGCTCGTATTAATCGACCGTGGCATCAGAAGAATAAATGCTGAATATTATCGCGAAAATTTTCTGGAGGATGTATTAAAGCCTTGGGTTTGCAAACATTTTGGCCGCAGACCTTGGACATTCCAACAGGACTCAGCACCATCGCACCCAGCAGGCGCCACCCAAGAATGGTTACAAAATGAGGTTCCTCGTTTCATTTCGAGCGCACAATGGCCACCAAAATCTCCTGATACCAATCCGTTGGACTATTGTGTCGGGAGTATTTTGGGTTGGCACTAAAAAATACCAAAGTGTCGATCACCTCAAGCAAGCGCTTCGCCAGGAATGGGACAAAATACCGCAGAGCAACATTCGGGCAGCGTGTGACGGTTTCATTGGCCGTTTGAAGGCCATAATTCGTACCAAAGGTGACCAATTCGAACAAATCTAAACTTATTCTGAAATTTGATGCTATTTCCGACATGTTTTGCTTTCATTCAATAAAATTTAAAAAAAAAAATAGAAATAATGGCATTTGACTTTGTAGCAGTTTTTTTTATCTCACCCTGTATGGGGTCTATACAAAGACCTGGACCTGCATAGACAATTTTCTGTCATAGACATTACGAGCTCTAAATACGAAATTTTAAACAACTCCGGTGAATAATGTCGCTAAAATCATCAAGATACCGAATACAGGGAGGTACTGATGCATGAGGCCTGGATCATAGAAAATTTGGGGGCTATACGATATCGTCGACCTATATAGACATTTCTCTTCAGGGGTAAAACGCTTAGAAATAACTTCTAGTATTTATTTTTAGAAAATTCCATTGGAAGATGTAGCTAAAATTATCAAAATACCGAATATAGTACCTTTATGTGGGGGATATACGATATCGTGGACCGATATAGTCCATCTTCAAACTTGATCTGCCTGCAGACAAAAGACAGTTCTGTGCAAAATTGTAGCTTCCCATCTTTATTCGTTTTGACTCTAGCGTGATTACAACAGACGGACGGACGGACAGGGCAGTAATCGTCTTAGAATTCTACGCTGATCAAGAATAGATATACTTTGTTGGGTCCAAAATTATTATTTCGATGAGTTACAAACGGAATGACGAACTTAATATACTCTCCTATGTGTGGTGGAGGGTATAAATAGAGGTATTTTTAAAGACCTTTCAAATCAAATCTAAAAACCTGGATTAAAAAAAAATTCAAGCCGTTTTTAAATTATTGGATTTACCTACGTCCATTATTTTAGTTTATTTTAAAATTTAAAATTTATTTTTAAAAATTATAAATACATAGTCAAAATTCTCAATTTTTGTTTTCTCCTCCCCGTTTCCATTTTCACTTCCGATTTCTGAACTATTAATAAACCATTAAAAACAGTAATAAATCATAAAACAAAAAACAAGAAGTAGAAACTCTTCAAGCCGACTATAAATAAACCCACATTTTCAATTTAAAATTTTTAAATGCTAACGGACATCCCGACAAATTAGGAATGCACAACGCATTCACACATTTCACGAACGAAACATCAATGTCCTCTCCTTACATCCTCAACGAATATCGGAAGACGACGACGGATGGACGTGTGGATGGCTGGCTGAATGGAGGTAACAACTACAACAATAAAAAAATATATGTTCATAAATTTTACAGAATATAATTATCCACATAACTTTGCTATTGTTGTTGCTTGGTGCTTGACATTGATTAAAAATTCTCAAAACGTACAATAAGCATATAAAAATAAAATACACACGACTCGGACGACGAAATTTAAAAAGGCATTCAACGGCCGTTTTGTGGATATTATTCAAAATCTAAAAAAAATAAATAAAACATTGAAAACCATGCCAAGAAGGAAGACCTTAAAAGGCAATAACATAATCCCAAATGCAATACCAAAAAAAAACACAACTTTAAATCGAAAGAGAGACGCAAAGCATTTCCTTTAAGAGCAACTTTTTTGATGGAGA